AGCGTCTTATGGCATTCATTGTGTTTTTTTTCTTTCTCCTCCTTCTTTATATTGAACTTTTGCTCTCTTTATGGATCATGTCCTCCCACAGTTCCTCTGACCTTTGATCATTGATGTTCAATGCCTCATTTATTTCAGCTGGGATATACTCAAGGTCATATTTTGGTTAATGTGGACTAGTTTTAATTTTCTTCAGCTACAAGTTAAACTTGCATATGAGTAATTGATGTTCTGTCCCACAATGGAAACCTGGTCTGGTTTTGACAGCTTATATAGAAGAATTTCTATTTTGAGCTGTCATGCTGGAGAAGAGTATTGAAAATACTGTGGACTGCCAAGAGAACAAAGAGTACTGTCCTGGAGAGGCTGAAATCAAGTTGCTCCTTGGAGGCAAGGATTTTGAAGCCCGTCTTATCTACTTTGGACATGTTGCCAGGAGTGATCAGTCCTTGGACAAGGACATCATGATTAGAATGGTGCAGGGACAGTGCAGGAGAAGACTCTGGGTGAGATTGACACAGTAATTGACGTAATGGATATAAGTATGTTGGAGGGAGTGAGACTGGCTCAGGATAGGAGAGGGTTCCGGGCTGTTGTACATAAAGTTGCTATGAGTTGTGAGATTACTTGCCAGCTATGAGATGACTTGCCAGCATATAACAACAATATTTTTCCCCACAAATAATCAGTCTGAATCTTGTACAATCCATCAGGTGAGTTCTTGATGTTTGCAAAGTTGCCATATGTGTTTTTTGAAAAGGATATTTGCTATGAATAAATCTTACCACGCACAGTTCTGTAATTCCATCTAAGAAGCTAGGAAGTATTGGAGGTATAATGTATAAGGCTGTGAACTGCAAAGGTCAGCTGTTTGAATCTCTGAGCAGTTTCCCAGGAGAAAGCTGGAAAGTCTTCCATAAAGATGAAGGTTTGTGTGAGGAAGAACTGACTCAGTGGCAGTTGACCCTTTTGCTGCAGGGCCTTTATTTGATTGGTTTGGTAAAATATCTGAGATCAGGGGTTCCTACAAGCTTTTCTTAAGAATACCACAATCATTGTTTTATAGATAGAAATTGCATGAGCATCTTCCTTTTCAACTTTTACATGTCACAGATAATAAAATTAAGACTTAGAAGAAAATGAGAAGTTGTGGAGATCTCCAGACCTTTCTGTGGATGTTCAAAGGACTTGGACCTTTTATTATAAATCATTCAGAAATTGTTCTAAGAACAACTCTCAGAAGTCACCATAAAGCCACAAACAAAACTTACTGCCCTAGAGTTGATTCTTACAACCCTGTGTGGCAGAGTAGAAAGGTGACACAAGTTTTCCAAGGCTAGAAATTGTTTGTTTGTTTAGGTTGGTTTTTTTTCCCATTTGCATTGTGTTTCAAATACAATCATTCCCATATAAAGTGTCTTATAAAATTACTCACCAAGTGTCTTATAAAATTACTCACCACTGATCTATTATCACCTCGTCTTTTCAATTCTCCACTGGATTCTTTCATCTCATCCCTCGGCCCCCCAAAATCAGTGACCCCCTTATTTCCCTCCTCCCCACCCTCAGCTCCCCTGTCCCCTCCCCTGCTCTCTTTGGACATTTATACTCACTCATCTTACTAGTTTTCCTTCTATTTGAAAAATAATGTTCTTATTCAGTATTTGTCCCTATGAGCCTGAGTTAGTACATTTAGCATAATGCTCCCTGGCCTCTCACATGTTGTATAATATTTTTTGAAACTATTGCTTTTGCATGCTGCATAGTCTTCCATCATGTCAGTGTACCACAAGTACTCAATCCATTAATTTGTTGATGGACATTTGGACTGTTTCCATATTCTTGCAATGGTGAATAACACTGCTATGAATATTTGTGTGCAAATCTCCATTTTTTTCCCTTGGTAATGGAATGAAGTTTCTGTGTTCTGCCTTTTGAGGAAATGCCAAACCACCTTTCAAAATGGTTGTACCATTTTAAAAATCCCACCAACAGTTGATGGGATTTCTAATCTTTCCACATCTCTCCAACATTTTTTACTTGCTATCCTGTTAAACTTTGCCTGTTCAACTCTTACTGGAGTGATATGTTATCTCATTGTGGTTTTGATTTGCATCTCTATTCTTGCCAGTGATTTAGAGCATTTCTTCATGTGTCTGTTGGCCATCTGAATGTCTTCCCTCTGTGAAAAGTCTTTCCATATCTTTTGTCCATTTTATAAGTGGGTTATCAATCTTTTTCTTGTGGTGGCCCTGGGGTACTTTGTAAGCTTTTGTTATGAAACCCTTGTCTGAGATCATTGCCAAATGTTTGTTCCAGTCAGCAGGTTTTCTTTTCACCCTATTGGGAAAAGTTTTTGATACTACTGCGGCTTAATCTTTAGAGGATCTCATTCACTGATGCTGTCCTCTCCTGGTTGTGCATTTCTGGCAATATTTGCCAGCCTACTTATACCATATGCAAGAACGTTATAAATCTCTACAAAAACAAACTGCTTCATCTTTTTCCCAAAGAGTTAGTGAGTTGAAATCATCAGTTTTGAGATTAGCAACCAGTCATTATAACAACTATGCCACCATGGATCCTAAAAATAATTATGACAAGTTTAATTTATTAAAAAATTACCAAGTAGGAAACAGATTTTAAAATTTTGTTATGTGTCCCTTTCTGTATAAGTGCAATGCTTTTCATAACATCACATTAATATTTATTCTTTCAGAGAAGCATATTTTAAATTAAAACTATTTCATGATTTTTTCATTATTGCCACAAAATGACTGCTGAAAACAGATTTTGAGGTCTGTCTTCTTTCTTTATACAGAGTTCCAGATTCTCAGATATTCTCTCAGCAAACAATCTCTTACTTCCTGCTGCCTTCTGCTCAAAGACAGCTTTTGCCAACATTTCTTTTTTTTTTTTCTTGAGTTTTCTTTATAACACCTTCAAAGCCAATTGCCATTCTGTTTATCTAGGCGTGAGTGTTTTTGTTGTATCTTTTGTTGTTTCAGATGTGGAAAAAGTTAATAATAATGGGATCTATTTAGCACATAAGAGACAAAATTGGGAAGTAAAGTGCATTATTTGTAACCGTTAATGCAATGGACACAGCTAGTTCAGATTCAAATTAGATTCCCCTTGCCATCCTCAAAAACACCACAGAAGAAAAGTGGTCAGTCTCCTGGGGTGCAATTTATGGTTTCTGAAAACTTATTAGAGGGTCAGCCATAAGTTGATCCTGACTCAATGGTAAAGAGTGTGAGCTTCTTTTCTGGTTTGGTATTTTTGTTTTGTTTTTAGTTTTGTAGCTTTACCTCAATGGGAAATGACATGTATAATGTCTGATTTTATAAGTGGAATGTACCCAGTCACACCATTATTTGTACAGATACAAGTTTCACATGATGATGTTGTTATTCTTAGGTATCCTCAAGACAACTGCAACTCCTAGGGACCTTATGGACAATAGATCTGAAATTTACCTTTTTCTGCTCCATCCTTTTTTATCACCACCATACTCAGGCTTGTTGTTAGAGTCAGTCTGTCAAGCCATCTTGTTAAGGATCTCACAATGATAGCTACATGGACAGTGTTAATATTTATCAGAACTTCACTCCTTTCCTTTGCTCAAATAGTGACATGACCGGTAAGAAACGACAATGTCCATGTACATTTTCTTCCTTCTAGACTTATTTGGAAGATGCTTCCCCACTAATAAACAGCACATGTCCTCTTCAGGAGGGGGACCCTGGTAACTATGTGAAATGGAAAAACTGGGCATGTGCCACAAGTTATTCTTCTTATATTTCATGAGTTTGGGCAACCCGGAGCTGTGATTTTACAAAATTTTCATTTTGTTTTGCTTCTTAAATCTGGAGTGCTAGATTTATAAGGATCTTCCATGTCCCTGTGTAGTATTTCGGAAGCTACAGTGCTTAGTGGTGTTGTAAATAAGGCATTCAATTGCTGACCAGAAGGCCAGTGGTTGTAATCTACCAGTGGCTTCAAAGGGAAAGGTGTGGCAACCTGCCTCCCTAATGATTTATAGCCTCGGAAACTGTGCCCACAGTCCTACTTTGCTCTACAAAGTGGCCAAGAGTTGAGATTGGCTCAGTGGCAGTGGGTTTGGGAGGTATTTTTATTTTTTAGGGAAGGGTGGGGTAGGTACATTATATAAAGTCTTCTGGTGGTACAGTACTTTAAGCACTTGACTGCTAACAGAATGACATCTACCAACTGCCCCATGGGCACTATGATAGGGTACTCTGTTGGCACAAAAGTTTACACTTTTTCCCGTGGAGTCACCATGAGTTGGAATTGACTCAATAACATTGAGTTTTGTATCTTTTCCTTATCTTCCTTTTTTTAAATATTATTGCATTACTTGGACATTACCATTTTAGCAATGAGCTTGGGTGTGTGAATCCCACATTGCCAGGCACTGTCCATTGCCTCCATTTTAATGGGAATTTGAAGGTGACACAGAGTCCAGAGGAGTTATCTGTCTTACTAACCTTCCCCCTTGAGTCCAGTTGGACCTGTGCCCCACATAGGTTTATCCTAGAATCCAGAGTGATAAATGTGCCCCACATAAGCCTACCCCAAGCTGAGAGGGACATATGCACATCATATAATTTGTATCCAAATTCACATTGCATAACAAAATTTCAGAATTATACCTAAAGCCAGCAAGCCTGTCATAATTAAAAACACATAGGACCAAAACAAAATTCAGAGTGGAAAAGAAAATATTATTAGGAAATTTGTATTTGAAATCCTTATTAAGGGAAACTGATTCAGCAGAAATATGCATTGAATTGTGACATTTTAATATTGTGAGGAAATGTACAGTTCTTTTTTTCAACTATTTGAGTTCTAAAATCACAACCTTTACAACAGATCTAATTCTTAACCTTTTTAAATTTAAAGAAAAAATATTTTCTTCTAATTTAAAAATTATTCTAAGCAATTCTGTTCACTTTCTCTGTTTATAAAATGTGTAGGAGGTGGAGAATCTGTTTGTCATTCTAGCAGCAATACTTCACATTGGAGACATTCGGTTCACCTCTCTGACGGACGCTGACTCAGCATTTGTGTCTGACCTCCAGCTTCTGGAACAAGGTCAGTGGAGCAGGACCTCTCTTCAACCTCACTGACATGCAGTATGTAAAACGCCCAGTAGATGGAGGCATACTACAGAAAAGTCAGATGGGATGAACTGTCCATTAGGAGAAAATAAAAGGGTAGAAGAAAAAAACAATCTAACACAAAACACTTATACCCACTTTCTTTTTATAAATGACAGTAAAGAGAATGAGATTTATAGTTTCTTGTAAACTACGTTGACAGCCTTGATTCATCAACATAAACAACAAAAACGCATCTAGTCAGTTCTGAGTCATTGAGACTCCATCAGGCTCCCTAGGCTGTAAATCTTAATGGGTAGAGATTGCTGTCTTTCCCCTAGAGGAGCAGCTGGTTGATTCAAACTTCTGACCTTTGACACTGATTCCAGCCCAGCACACTGATTCATCATCATTTACTTGGGTTAATCTATGTTGTTAATGTTTTTATTTGAGTTTTTAATTGGTATGCCTATAATTATTCATATACATTGTTTTATTCATGTAAATAGTGGAGTGTTTTGTATGTTTCACACTTTCCTTCATCAACATTCAGTTTCATACAATCATTCCCATACATTGTGTGTTATAAATTAATCACCATTGGACTACGCTGACCATTACTCTGTCTTCAAGTCCCTACCAGATCATTCCCATTTCCTTTACTCCCTTCCCTCCACCCACCAAATTGTGTGACCCTGTGATTTCCCTCCCTCCATCCTCACCCCTCTATTACAAATATTTTCCACCCTACTTTTGTCACTCACTATATTTGGGGACATATTCTTAACTAAGCACTTTTTAAAAATTAAAGATCTTTCCGGAAAAATCTTCCTTTGCTTTGAAATTTTATTGTTAGTCATTCCCAGATTTTTTTCCAAATTCCTTAAAACTAGGCTGTCAGTGAACAACACATCCTTACCTGATATGAAAGCAATTTAACTAACAACTGAGAGACTTACCTGTGTGATGTGCAAGGAGAGGGGAGGAAAAAGCTGTTGTGATTTAATCCAGAGAGCTGCAAGAGTGCACCCATGATTCCATGACCACAGCCTTTTTCCTCTCGTTGAATCAGACAATGATAGTTGTTGTTTATGTTTCTCTGCTACAGTTTCTAAAGCAGCACTATTGTTGTTGTTTTTGTTGCTGTACTAAAGAGTCAGAACCAACTCATAGCTGACCCTCTGGTGGATTTTCAGAGGGTGTTAATCGCACAGGAGGAGATTGCCCATTTTATATAAAGTTAAAACTATAATTATTAAGAGCTATGCTCTGGTTATAAAAAAAACCACATGCTAACTTTTCACTTTGTATTCTGTTTAAATTTTAGTTGCTGAAATGTTACAAGTATCAACAGATGACTTGGCATCTGCCTTGACAACTGATGTTCAGTATTTTAAAGGTAAGAATTTCTGAACTCTAGGTTTCAACTTTGAGCAATTTGTGATCTCTGAAATTCAATACAAATTTGCCTTGCTGTTGTTGTTGTGTGCCATCAACTCAGCGCTGACTCATAACCCACCTTCCTGTGGGTTTTCAGAGACAGTAAATCAACCTCGAGGAGATTGCCTATTCATCTCTCACCGAGCCGTGCTGTAGTCCCACAGGCACACAGTTCCAATGTACCAGCTGCTCGGTGAGAAAGTCACATCAGAAAAGCACTATAAACACATTTGAGGTGGCTCTCTATTATAAACTATGCTGCTGTGAAATTATTTTGATTACCTGATCATTTTTTCTACCTATCAGTCCTCTAATGAGGTAAGAGAGGACTCATTAATCCAAGAGGTGAACATTTAGGTGAAAGCTGGTCCATCTGTGTGAGCAGCTCCAGTCAAGCCAAATCCAAACCTGCTGCCATGGCGTCATTTCTAATTCATGTTGACCCTCCATCAGATTTCTGAGGATGTATATCTTTATATCAAACCATCTTTTGATTTAAACTATCGGCTTTTAGCTCAGCAGCATTTCCGGTAACAACTTTTATCACTCTTCCTCTTCAATAAGGAGCCAAACTTCTCCCAGTCATTTATTGGTTACAAAAATAGCTGGGGCTTGGAGGTATTTGACATGATGGGACTGTGCCAAATGCCATCTGGGTTATAAATAGAAGTTGTTGCTGTTGTGTGCCATCCATTTGGAACTGACTTGAAGCTGACCCTCCAGTGGGTTCTCAGAGGCTGTAAATTTCAAGGGAGGAGATGGTCCCTCATTCTCCCAAGAAAAGCAACTGGAGGATTTGAAGCACCTGCCTTTGAGTTGGCAGCACAGCTCTGAACTTACAAGGTTAACAGAGCTCCAGGAAAAAGAAGGAGCTATAATTACTTCCATAATAATAAAGTAGAAAATTTTCCATATTAACTAAGTGGAAAGAGGTACCAAGAGTTTAAATAGCTTAAAATACCAAATTGTTAGTAAATGGTGTGCTTTGAATCAAATCTAATGCTACCTGATTTCGGACTCACGTGCTTAATCACTGGCTGTATGGACAAAGAGAACAGATCCTATCATGTGCATAATTTATTATAGATCATTATCTTATCAGCCTCTCAGTTTATCATAATCTTGGAGTCTCAGCATCCAGCTGATCATTTTTCTCTAAGTCAATCACCCTCTCTTCACTACTGTCTCGGCTTGACCTGCAGCATTTTAGCTATGTGGCTTATCAATTTTGCCTCTTCCCTCACGTAAATTACTCACACAATTTCCTTTATATGTTCCTTATTTTAATGAATCTCTACATTGTCTCCCAACCATTGGCTCCCAGATTAAGATACATTTGAAAGCAGAGTTGGTACCCATTTCTTAAAAAAAACAGGCCTTTGAAAACCCTATGAACACTAGAGGAAAGACAATAATTATAGAAGGGAGTTCAGATCTTTTGTTCATAGGGTCGCTGTGAGTTGTACTCAACTGGATGGCACCCACCACCGCCACCACCACTACCACCACCACCACCACCACCACCACCACCACCACATTGTCTGCTTGATTGTTCAAGAGTCATTCTTTATACTTTTTCCATGAAATAGATTGGATACTTCCCAATACTGCCAGTTGTCACTGCTTTAGTTTATCATTCCTTCTCTGGACCATAACAAGTTTCCTGGCTAGGCTGTTGTTTGGTTTTTTCCATTTGGCCTCCTTCCACACTGTTTCAGGAATGAATTTTCTAAATTGCAAAGTCCTTTGTGAAAAGACATTATGCTGGGAAAGGTAGAGGGGTCAATGAAAGAGAAGGCAAACCTTAACTAAGTGGATTTGGGTGTGTTGGAGATCCTGTGGGTGATGCAGGACAGAGAAGGGTTTCAATCAGTTGTTCATAGGGTCACTTTGAGTCATAGTAACTCATTAGCACCTAACAACAACATTAAAATTTTTTAAAGATATTCTAGTTCCTTAGAATGTAAATCTTAACTTTAAAAAAATGTAGTAAGGGATTGCTGGCTCCCTACTAGCAAGAAGCTCCACTGCAGTCCCAGAGGTACATGGTTCAAAACCACCAGATGCTCTGCTGGAGAAGGAGGGGCAATCTCCCTGTACCAGCCAGATCCGATTTGATGATACACACACACAAAATAATAATTAAAAAAATAAATAAAAAGATGTAGTATGTTCCTCATTTGTCTCTGAGAGGACCAAACAGTTAACCACACACTACTGACTGAAAGATTGTTATTTTCAACTCACCTCAAGATTTCTCACCAGCTTCTTTTGATCTTTTGATCAGTCTTGAAAACCTCATGGGGCAAATCTGTTCTGAACACCTGAAGTCTTACATGAGTAAAAGTTAACTTGTCAACAGCTAACTAACCACTGTGGCATGTCTCCTATTATTTGGTTCGTACCTAACTTCTGTGCTCCGTTTGCAGCTATTTCTCCACCATATTCCTACATCTCACCATCCTAAACTTTGTGAGGTTCTCTGAATGTATTATTTTTTCTCAGGTTTTCCCTGAGATAAATTTAAATCACATGTATGGATAACTTAGTAATTTATGCTAAACCTCCTCTTTAGACTATCCTTTCACCCTTAAGTGACTCACAATATTGATGTATTTATGATCCATCAGGATCTTTTGGCCAGCTTGATGCTTGTTTTTGTTAAGTGACCTTGGGGGTGCCATAGTCTCGTAGCTGCCCCGTGTACAGCAGATCCTGTACCATCTTCAAAATCTCCACTGTGCTCACACCCATCATTGCAGACCCAGTCAATCCATCCAGTGCCTTCCCCTCTTGTTCTTGTTGACCTTTTATCTTTCTTAGCATGATGTCCTTTTCCAAGACTGTCTTATGACAAAATGCCCAAAATATGTGAGACACACTCTGCGCTCCTAAAGAGTATTTTTTGGGGGGGCCTTTTCAAGGATAGACTTGTTTTTCTATTGGAAATCCATTATAAATATTGAGTGTTCTTCAGCAACCCTTTAATTCACATAACTCAAAGACATACATTTTTCTTGAGTATAGGATCCCAGTTTTGTACATGTATGTATGACCACTCCTGTTTTCACTACCATGTTGTGCTGATTTACCTGGGTGGCTGTAAGCTTGTAGCTCTCATCATTAATTTCTTGCATTGATTTCAGCTAATCAGGTGTAATTCATTTTCTTCTGACTGTTTAGCCACTGTCTCCACATTCTCTCACAGTCGTGATCCTATTACTCTGCTCAGACTGGTATGAAGTAGTTCTCCATTCTAACCAAGGTCTCAGTCATGTCTAGACGTGCATTTCACTCCTAAATGCTTACTGTAAATGCTAATCATCTGAAGTCATGTTGTTGGTTTCATCTCTGAAGATTCCTATCACTCAATATTTCAATTATCATACCCTAGAGAATGATATAAAAAGTTTTTCCTTACAGATCAGTCTTGACTCCAACTTCCAAACCCATATTTTGGCCACTAGATGATAAAATTTCCAAATTATTTGTGATTTTTTTAAAATATCAAAACCATGTAATTGTTATCAGAAAACTTGCTAAGAGAATTCTGCTGAATAATGCAACTTACATAGAAGAAAAATATTTACTCTGTGTTTGTAATAAATAAGATTTCAACATGAATGCCACTTGTTTGAGGAAAAACTTTTGCATAAAACATTCAAAAAGTGGCATTTATTAAATTAATAATAAAAGTATATTTTAACATTATTTGATAGCCTTTAAGGAGCTCTTTTGTGTAGTACTGATAAAAGAAATTGGCTGCTAACCAGAAAGTCAGTGGTTCAAATTCACCAGCTGTGTCATGAGTATAGAAAGATAATGCAATCTGCTTCTGTAAAGATTTACTGTCATGGAAACTGTATCTACAATACTATTCTGTCCAACATAGTTATTTGAGGCCAAATCAACTCAATGGCAGTGGGTTTGGGTTGCTTTAATAGTATGTATGTGTGTGGAAGATAAATAGAATGTGCATATTTTATTTGCTTCTCAATGAATTAGACCCTTATTTTGATACGTCTTCTTATTTCTCAACTATTTTAGGAGACACGCTCATACGACGATATTCTACAGATATTGCTGAGTTTTACCGGGATCTTTTGGCCAAGTCCCTGTATGGCCGCCTCTTTAGCTTTCTGGTGAATGCCATGAACTGTTGCCTCCACAGTCAAGATGAGCACAGCAGGTAGGACATGACTGGATGCTGACCCCTATTGTAATTACTGCCACTGTCAATTAAAGGCCCAACATTTAAAAAGACTTCATCAGTGCAGTCTGACACATCAATTAAACCACAACTAAAATATTTTAACAGGTAAATTTATTTAAGCAATTTATTCAATTATTCCTTAGAATGTTAAGCCACCGTCCCATAAACACAATCTATGAGTGAATCAAATTCTCTTTCATGCATAAATAATGCACATGCATTCTCATTGGAATAAAGGTATATATGGCCATCTGTATACTAAAAGGCATCAAAAATTTACAAATCTTGGAAGAAAACTGCAGGCAGCCCAAGGATATCTAAAGCATTCAAGTTTGCTATGCATCTGATATTTCTCTCAGAATTTATTTGATGGTGTATCTTAAATGAGTATTCCTTCCTCTTGTTTTCTTCAATTATTTGGTGGATTATTTGATAAAGAGTCTCTGTAGTAAACATTGTGGCTTATAGTCTTATCCATCTTTAAGTAGACACTCTTAGGGTTATTTGATCATATAAAAATCACACCTCTCCATAGCATTGTGTCAATACAAAATGTTGTTAATATTCTTGCTACAAATAATGACTATGGGGGAGGCAACTGGAAGTCATATTAGATCCACAAACCTGCACACATATTTGTCTTTGAATGAAACATTTTCATAATTTCTTTGATATCCATACAGAGTTTTCAGCCAGTTCCTGAAAATTGTTGTCATCAGATGTTTTCTGGAATATTGAAGAACTCACTAGCGTGGATTCTAAAATAAACCAAGAAATCTCAGACAATTTCAAGGATAAAAGGGACATTAAAACACTTATTTAAAAAATTATGTATATGTCTCAAATAAAATTAATATATAAAATCAAATTGCAATTTATCAACATATTTAGTATGCACATCTGAGATTTGAAGGTAGATAAGGAATTATCTGTGGGGAAGCAGAAAGACTTTACTCTTTGGGATAGTGACTCTTGGTTTTTATTTCCTCTTTAAGTATGTTACATAAGTAAATCTGCACAATTTTAAGAATTAGAGAATAATAGTCTTTTAAAATTACTCACTCAGCGAATGCATGAAGATATAGACTAGCAATCAGCTGGCATTGCCTTAATAATTATAAGTTCAACATTGTTGGTGGCTCATAGTGACCCTATGTACAACAGCCCTAGACCTGCTCTATTCTGTGCCAGCCTTATTGTCTCTGATACACCTACCCCATTACCCCAGTCACTGAATCAATTTATATCGATTGCTGACTGCAAAAATTGGTATAAATCTTCTATTTCCTCTTCTTTGGCTCTAGTTGTTGGTGCATATGTTTGAATGATAGCGGTATTCACTGGACTTCCTTGTATGTATATGGATACTTTCCTGTCCCTCACAACTTTGTATTTCAATATGGATCTAGAAATTATTTTTTTTAACTTTGAAAGCAATCCCATTTTTCCTCACCTTTTCATCTTGGGTATAGTAGAGCATATGACCGTCTGACGCAAAGTGTTCCATGTCAGTCCATCTCCTTTCACCAATTCCTAGTATGTCAATATTTATGCATTCCATTATTGTCATATTAATCATAACTCAAATTTTTACCCCTTTATTTCTCCCATGGGTCCCCCAAACAGGAATTCAGATTGCTAAATAATTCCATAAAAGATTGTATTTTCAATATAAGCAGTCCATGGCTAACAAATGAGATCTATTCCTGTGTGTGCTTAGGTTAAATTTGTTAGGTAACTCAAAACAGGTGCACACAGTCCTTATGTTGTTACTTATCCTTACTTTAGGATTCCAAGGAACCCCTGGTAGCATAGTGCGCTATGTATGGGGCAGCTAATAAAAAGGTTGGCAATTGACTTCACCAGATGCTTCTTGGGAGTAAATGGACACTTACCTCTTAGAAAGAGTTACAACTTCAGAAACTGACAGAAGATCTCTCAGAGTCAGAATTGACTTAATAACAATGGGTTTGCTTGGGGATTTTAGGCTTCCTGGTAGTGTAGTATGTTAAATGTTGGGCTGCTAATCAAAATATCAACAGTTGAAAACCTCTAGCAACTCTGAGAGAAAAAGTGAGGCAGTCTCCTTCTGGTAAGATTTACAACCTTGGAAATCCAGTGCAGAGTGTCCATGAGTCAGAGCACTCTAGAAGGTTTTTAATACAAGAAAGAACAGTCTTGGTAACATAGAGGGTTAAGTATTGGACTGCTAACTAAAAAGTTAGTGGTTCAAACTCCTTTTCTGCTCTTTGGGAGAAAGATGAGATAGTCTGTAGAGATTTATAGCCTTGGAAACATCATAACACACTCCATTCTACAGGGTTGTTATGAGTTGGAATTGAATTGATGACTGTTACTTAAAAACTTTCAATTATTTAAAACCTGTAAATGTAGCAAGTAGAGGTGCTTGTAATTAGTAGGTGTTGGTTTAATTGTTTCAAAGTTAGTACAGATTTATATAACATTAAGAGACGAGTAGGAGTCCTCTGTAAATTGAATGTGAAGTTCACAGAAAGCTGAAGGGTTGGTTTTTTTGTTTTGTTTTTTTTCCAGATTAAGAGACAAATTTCCTAAAACAAAGAAAAGTCTCAGAAATCTGAATGACCTTAGATTTTTTTTTTGTTTAGTAATTTCCATTATGTTTTTAAATTTTATCAGAAAATGTTATGTTTGGAAATAGCCCAATAAATTTCATAAATTATCCAAGAATATGGATGAAAGTAAGACATTTCCCAAGAAGTTATAAAGAAAAGAAAATGAAACATAAGGTGTAATGCTTGTACTTAGAATGCTGGGTTAATTACCCAGATAGACCAAAATTAATCAAATAATAATATCAATGAAGACATTATATCTGAAAAATTCTGTTTAATGTTAGATCCCAAATAGAATTGTTTCTACAACTAATTCTATGATGAATAATATGTGAGGTTGATGATTATTTTAAATAATGTGGGTGAGCAACAGTTCGCCATGCTTGCTCTGACCTAAGGGATCAGTCCTTGGAGAAAGATATCATGCTTAGAAAGGTCAGAAAAAGAGAAGAAGATTCTCAATAAGATAGATCAACACAATGACTCTCACAATGTTCTTGTTATGTACCATCTAGTCGGAAATGACCCATTGTTGATGCTCTAGCCTATAAATCACACAAAAGGAGATTACTCATTTTTCTCCCATGGAGCAGATTCTCCCACTGGCAGATTCAAAAGGCCCACCTTTGAGTTGACAGTGTAGCTCTTTACCACTAAACCACCATAGCTCCCTTGACTTAACAGTGGGCTCCAGCATATCAGAGATCCTGAGGCCAATGCTGGATAGGGCAAGGCTCAGACTGTTGTAGTAATAATTAGCTTGATGGTACCTAAAAATAACTGTGTCAATAAAATAATGTCTACCACTGAGTGACTTTTGCTTGCTCTGGATTTTATTCCTGTGTGGCTAGTCTATCTGATCTGAGGATTGTAAACTAAAGCTGTTGTTGGTTGGTGCCATCGAGTCGTAGATGACTCAAAGCGACCCTATGAACGAACAGCCTGAGCACTGTTCGTACATAGAGTTTCCGGAGGCAAGCCATTTCGGAAGTGGATGCCGCTCCTGCTTCCAGGCTTAATTTAGTTGGGAAGCCAAAAACAATAACAGTGTTAAATAGCAAAATGTATTAAAAAGGAGGTAGCATTGTAACTCAAGAGCAGTTTATTTTCACCCTGGAATCCCAACTCCTCTCCTATTGTCTCTCTTTGTCATTGGTGCAGTCGGGAGGGGCGGAGGGGTTCTCCTCTAGTTCAGCAGTTCGATGTAGCCAGGGTCCATCAGTGGGGGCAGAATCCTCCACTGTCTCAGTAGCTCATGTTCATCAGTGTAGACCAGAGTTCTTGGCTCTGAAAAGAGCCTTTAGGTTTTTGACTCTATCAAGAGCCTTTGGGTCTTCAGTGTTCAGCTCATTGTGAAGTGCAGAGAGGTAAACTAAAGGAGGACCAAACCAAATAAAGAAATGCTGCTTTTCATTCTAAGGCTTCTCTTAGTGGTCGGGGAGCTTAAGAAATTGAATCACGCAAAAATGTCATTTTTAGTTACGTAGATTCACAGGCGCCAAGGCCAGAGCAAGTAATACTGTATGTGTCAGACATTCATTTCACTGACACAGTTGTTAGATTTTGTCAAGTTGACTATGCTATTTGGAGCTATCAGGTCCTAGTGTTCAGGAGTTGCACTGCCAACCAGGAAGTCCACTGGGAGAAATGCAGGCAGTCTCCCCTTGTGTAGTTCATAATCTCTGAAAACTTGCTGGACGATCAGCTAAGAGTCAATTCCAACTCAGTGGCACCCAACAACAGCAGCAACACATCATTTATCTTACTTAGATTAAAAAGAATTTGTTGTAAGGAAAAGAATAGTGCATATAATAATTAGGCTGATGATTCTTTAAGTGTTTTAAACCACATTTTCCCATAAAGTATGTCCATTTAACTTGGTTTTTTAAAAAAAATCTGATAGCTAACTAAAGGGAACACATTTTATTATGCTACTTTGGGTAAAAACAAAGAGTCTAGGAAATTGTGTTGCTTGGACCAGATCTTAGTCTCTCTATTCCCCTGCCAATGCTCTTACATTTCAAAAAATAGAGTTTTATTATTTTAGCCATTTTTACCTAAAGGCAAATTTCAGGCTTTGAAAATAAAGATTCTAATATATCGTTTTACTGTATGCAGACATCATGACTGTATAAATCATTATTAAAGTCCAAACACAGGTCTTCTCTTTTTGCTATTATATGATGTCATGGCCCACTGGCCAAGTGTCACCTGTCACCTCTGCAATTCTCCTAACCACTCTCAACTTCCACACGTAGAAAGACACCTATAAGACTCTTTTTTAAAATATTTTTTACGTCTACTTGCATATTTGCTTACTTATTTATACATTCATTTGTTCTTTCACTTCTTTATTTTAACCTGATCTGAAATCCATGTGTT